ATATTCTAAAGCACGGTACGTTCGTGGTGTCGCTAGATAGAAGTTAGGGACAGTAGGAATCTCTGCTTCTTGGATCTTCGATCTTGCTCTCGGATCTCGTAACGATGAAGGACGCAGCTAGCTGATGCAGTGCGACTTGCAAACTTCTGAGCAGTTCATTGTCAATCCTTTTCATACTCTTGAACACTTGGAAACGATTTCCATAAGCTTGTCATATTTTCAGAGCGCCATCGCGAGCGTGTTTGGAACACTCACGGTCTCTCTGATTTGATGCTCAACAATTTGGATTCAAGCAAATCTGTTGCGCTCTACCCCGCAATTTTTTGTTCCTGGCTTCTTACCTTCAATTCGAATTTGTTGACCCTCTTCACGAAGGCTGGAGGCGTTGTTAAAGTTTGCAAGGTTTTACGCGAAACGAAAACAGAGAAGGTGAGTTGAACAAAAAGGGGAGTGACAAGATTGGTTTGTTTTTTTTGGCAGGTTGTCCGAATTTGTATCCATACTTTGTTGAACTGCCTTTCCAACGACGAGTCTGTAGAAGTTGTTATTCAACAAGATGCCGTACATGTGAGTCGATGCCAAGCGACAGCTTTGATAAATTCTTGACTTCTTAAATGTAAGCAATTTGTTTCTCAGACACTTACGTTACTTGAATACGAGAAGTGGCGCGATGAAGAACTTTATCAAGAAATTCGCGATGGCTTGAATGCTTTGCAGGCTAAGATCAAACTATTCAGGTTTGCCATTCTAGTCCTTGTGGTGGCTTGTAGTGCTTGTGGTGGTGGTTGTAGTGCTTGTGGTGGTGCTTATTTCTGTGCTGCTGTTTTAATGTTGTTTCTAATTTTGGTGTTTGCAGCAACTTTGGTCGTTATTGTCGGGAACTATCAACAGGGAGCCTCACATGGTCCTTCCTGCACTCTGAGAAGTTCTGGCATGAGAATGTGATGCATTTCGAAGACAATGAGTTTTTTGCTGTCAAGCAGCTCGTCCTTCTATTGAGATCACCAGATCCAATAACTCTTGCCGTAGCGTGTTCAGATCTTGGAGAATTTGCTAGACTGCATCCAACAGGAAAAAAGTAAGTAGCCTTAATTTTCCTCAATCATTATGTTTGGTGCAGGATGTTGCATAAATTGAAAGCAAAAGAAACCGTGATGCTCTTGATGTCTCATAAGGACAGGTTCGTGTTTCCCTAGCAGTCGCTCGACCACACCCCTTTTGGCCTTCCAGAGATGTGAGCCGGGAGGCGTTACTTTGCACTCAGAAGATGATGTTGGATAAATGGCAGGCTGCTGCAGGAACGAGCCAGTCACGAAAGTAGCTTTTTTCACCACACTACGAATCAATTTTTTAGACCAGCTCTATTCCTTCTACCAGCAGGCAAACAGACTGAATTGTGTAAATGATGTAGCGATTGGCTTCAATATTTCAATCCCAAGATTTCATCATGAACTATGCGTGGGGAGCGTTCAAGGGAGCGGTCCAGGAGTTCAATCAGGTACAAACAGATAGGAAGTACAGAGAGATCGGCCAAGTTTCTGTTTACCATGTTCCATGGTTTCATTTCGCTCTCCCAAAGTTCCAATTCGTGCTCGATTTGATTTTCTCTTGATTCTTCCAGGCCCTTCTGGCAGATTCCGACGAAGACCGCGAATCAACGACATCAAACACAGTAAGAGCATATAGCTAACAAGATTGAGGCGTCTGTTCAGCACACCAGTTATGCACTCCACGATCCACATTTGTAGACTTCAACTGAGAAGCGTGCAGACCGCAAGAAACTCTCGTCGAGACAGTCTGTTCATCGGCCTGATTCAGAGATGGCATCTCAACAATGGAATGATTGGTCTTGGGATGGCATTGATGAGGGTCTATCCACTGATTCGGCTGTTTTGACAAACCAACAAAATGAACCGCAAGGAAGTGGATTTGGTGGTTTGAATATTCGTGGCCGTCGCTTTGAGGAATCGGCTTCAAAAATGGCAGGTTTTGTTGGTTCAGTGATTCCAGCAAATTTAAAAACATCTTTGGCAAGTGCTGTGGAGTCGTCGTCTCGTCTCTTTCAACAGCCGAGCAGCTCGAGTGGTTCACGCGAATCAAAGTCTTCTCAGTTCAACGAATTCATGGAAGTTGCTCGGTGTGATGCTGAAGATTCCCACAGAAGCGAGTCACTAGAAAGTGATGTTCGACACGGCATGAGAGGACAACAGGCTGCTGATCAGATGGATCCTCGAATTCCATCAATCATTCCAAATCCGCCACACACAAGTCCAACATCAAGTTTCGTGGGTCAGTCCGCAATGGACTTCTTCAATGAAGCTCTTCCCGTCGTAACGAAAGGTCCAAAGAAAAAGCTTGAGTTGCCACCACGGAAATCGAGTCCAAATAATGCCATTCGTGATTCAGCGCGAACGCCAACGGAAGCAAGGACAGACAGTGCTGTCCAAGCAAGCAGTGCTGAACAACCAAGCAGTGCTGAACAACCAAGCAGTGCTGAACAACCAAGCAGTGCTGAACAACCAAGCAGTGCTGAGCAGCCAAGCAGTGCTGCCCAACCAAGCAGTGCTGCCCAACCAAGCAGTGCTGAACAACCAAGCAGTGCTGAACAACCAAGCAGTGCTGAACAACCAAGCAGTGCTGAACAACCAAGCAGTGCTGTCCCAATGAGTTCTGAATCAATCGGCCGAAAATCAGAAGAACAATGGGATGAACGAAGTTTACCGGAAGGGAGAAAGATTGATGTTCTGGACGATCTTGAAATATCAAAAAATGAGGAATGGAATGATGATGAATTGTTGTTGGGATTGGAGGAAGACATAAAGAGTGTGGATGGACATGTCGGGAAAGATGAAGGAGGAGTGGGAAAAGATGAAATAGGCGTGAGGGAACATTCAATGTCGTACGAGTTGGACTCTGTCGCGGGGTGACAGCGTTCTAGAACCCAGTGGCCTCGATGAAATAGAAAAAAATCAACTATTTCCTTTGGTTGATAAAAATGACAAAGATATTGAGAGCGATGACAAAGATATTGCGAGCGATGACAAAGATATTGCGAGCGATGACAAATGGAAGGGCGAAGAAGGAAGTCCATCGTCAGAGGAAGCTAACATCGAAGTTCCAATGAAAAACGTGTTGCCAGGCGGACAAACGCCAAGTTCGTACGCGCGTTCCCCTGCGGTGTCAAGGCGTGATCCGGATACGGCACCTCAGGCTCTTGATGTGATGAGTGATGTAAGTGAGAAGGAATTGAAACCGCTAGAAGAAGAAGAATTGGAACGTATGGAAGACGGAAAAGAGATGGAGTTAAATGGGAGTGAAGAGATGATTAGGGAATTAGATCTAATTGGGGTTTCTGGGGAGGATGAAGTTCTGCAGGAAGAACTTTTGGAAGATGTAGCGGGGTTTGAGAAAGACGCGAAGAACGACTCGAAAGACGCAAGGAATGACTCGTATTGTCTGAATGAAAAAGGTGTTCTTGTGCCGTTTGAGTCCCAATCCATTGTGGAGCACTCTGTGGTGGAAGAGTTGATGACATCAGAGAGTATCAATAAACTGATAGATGAAGTGGAAATCATTGAAGAGTCAGAAAGGATAAAAACTCGAGTGTCGATGGAATCTGCATCAATGAAAGAAACGCATGATGAAAATAAGGAAGACGAAAAGATAAGAGATGCCACGAGAACAGATACGCCTTGCTCTCTTGATTCTCTTAATGGAGTGTCCCAATTTACGGAAGATATTTCCAGAAAAACGAGCGATAAAATGAGAAAGGGAGAGAAGACAGAAGACGAAACGGAGATTGAAGTCCCAATTCGAGTTTCATCTAAAATGACAGAAAATGAAGACGAAACGGAGATGGAAGTCCCAATTCGAGTTTCATCCAAAATAGGACGCGTCGTGGAACATTCAATCATTGCAGACAACAATGTGGTCGTCGAAGTCGGAAATCAAGACGGAACTCGTTTTGTGTCCCAAATGGTCTCTTACTTTTCAAGAGGCGAATCCTCTTCCCCTTCATCTCTTGAACCAAAATTTTCCGTTCCTGATAAGCCCACTGAATTGTTGACGGAAGAGTTCAAATCTTGCTGGAATGGCTTTAAGAGTGAGTTTGTAGATTGAATATTTATCATCGAGTTGTTTCTTCATTTGATGATCTCGCACACCGAATCGTAATTAGACTTGTTTCTTCATTTAGCGAGCTGCGCGGCCGGAGATACTTCTCTTGAGGTCTGTCCCAATCTGTCCCAACAAATCCGTTCAAGTTTGTTTGATAGACACTCGCTGCTCAAGAGATTCCGACATCTTCGTTGGAAATGCAGGCTCTCTGCATCAATTTGATGTCGGCGATGAGCAAGTTGATAACAGCATCATCTTCTCAATTGTTGGACAACCAAGAAGCTCACAACACCGTACGCCGTTTAATTGTCGCTGCCTGTCGTTGATTGTCGTTTGCTTGTTGTTGAATGTCGTTTGCTGTTTGTCCCAAATTTGTGAGTATCAGCAATTTCTGTGATGCGATGCAGATAGCAACGCAAGAACAAACGATTGATGAGCTTCGTCGGGATCTCGAAGGACTTCGCAATCACATGTCTGCTGTTACTGACAGAGCAGCGCAAACATTCGAAAGGGTATGAAATAGAAAGTCGAGATACTTTGAAAATGCGGGCTTTGATAGTGAAGATGCTTTGATAGGATTGCGTTGAGGTGCTTTGCTCATCTGATTCATAGACGAAGAAGAAACAGCGAGAGGCGTCGTTTTCGAGTGCATGCCACTGTTACATGCTGTCGTCATGTGTCTGTATCTCTCTCGCTCTCTTGTTATATATCTCCGATACACATCATCGCTGTCTGTTGTAGTCTCATCAATTGTATCTTTTCAGTATCGAGAAGAAACAGAAATTCAGCAGGAGGAAACAAATCGATCTCATCAAGAATCCCTACAATCTTCCAAGTGAGTGGATATGCATCATCATCATCATCATCATCAGATACCTGGTTGAACATCATCACAATTGTAGAGATCGGTATGACAGTTTGATGGAACAATACAAGCGTTTGCAACAGATGGGTCGTGAATTGTCCCAAAAACAGGCGGGGAGTGAATCTGCTCAGTCTGCTTTGCATGAGAGAGTGGAGCATCTTGAGGTTGAAAATGAGGATCTTATAGAACAGTTAGAATCTTGGCAAGTAAGCGCTCACTCAACGACAATCACGCCATCTAGCTACCCAATGACTTTACAACTGGGATATGAAACAGTTTGACATTCCCGCCTTCGATTCCGTTGAATTTCTATAATGATTGCATCTCCATATCTCTGGAGACAAACAAGAAACATGAGACTATCAATTTCTTTTTTTTGCCTCTAGAAAGCGCACGCTCAAGTCTCTGAAACGCATCATCGATTGAGTGCAGAAGCTTCTGAATTTCGTCATCGTTGTCTGGTAAGAACTTTTTGACTTCAATTATACATCCGTAAAATCATCCGTAAAAATCAATCCTAATCGTGTTGAATCATGCATGCCTAAATCATTCCTACGAGACGTCTGATTTGTTTACTTCTTCTGAGCTTGGCTGTTTTTATGACGCTGGTCCTTGAACGTGTTTTGTCTCTCCTCACTGCTGATTTGATTTTGTTTGTTTCTAGAATCTCGAAAGTGCGTTGGAGGAATTGAAGATTATCGCTGAGGATCAAAGCAAGCTCTTAGAAGAATACAAGGAATCAGGCAAGCGATGGACTTCATCAACGAAGTGTTGTTCGTCGAGAAACATTTGAGGGGACTGTGTCTCATTGCTGTGACGTTGAAATAATGTGGGATGGAGAGTTTGATGCGATTGCTGACTGAAGTATCAACTGAATTGTATCACTCACTCTCGTTGATCGATCATTAGTGTGTCTCATTGTCAACCATGTGTCTTCAGATGCTTCGTTGAAGAAAAAAGTCGAAGAAGCTTCATTACTTGAATCTGAACTCCTTGAAAGTCGAGATGTTATTGAACGTCTCAATCGTCTGATTGAAGATCTGAATGTGAGTAGTGAATGCTCTCTATGAATGAATTGCTTGATGTGAATTGCATGATCTCTATTAATGGCAAACTTATAAATAATTACCTTTTAATTAAAAAAGGTCTGAATATTCTGGGAATCGTTTTCTAATAGAGCGAATTGAGTATTTGTTAAAGAGGGAATGGAGTATTTGTTGATCTCGTTTCGTTTCGTTTCAGGCTGATCAGGACGCGTGTGTGAATGGATTAGACCTTCGCTTGGCGCAAGCTCAACGAGAGCTGACGGAAACGAAAACAAAATTAGCTGCTGCAGAAGATCAGGCGAACGAAGTGGTTGCTGCCAAAGCTGAGTGTCAAAAATTAACGGAAGAAACTGAAAAGTTGCGTTCTCTTATGGCAGCAAAAGAGCAGCAAAACGAAGTCTTGAGGTACGCATTGGAAAAACAGGTTCAAGGAGCCGTTGTCGCTACAGCAGCTGCTGCGTCCGCTTTAGCAAGAGAGAGATCATTATTGATGGTTGTTTGTGATTTGTGTTGGATAAAGAAGTTTTTGATTTGTGTTGCATGTTTTTTGTTGCAGTGCTGCGCTGAAGAAAGTTCTCGATCGGCTTCACGCCAAAGCAGAAGAAGCTGATTTTATGATTGATCGTCGTGCGATTGAGATGAAGGTGAAAGACTATTATAAAATTCTGGCTGCCCAGGTAAAACAATGAAAATTGAAATCTGATAGAGCTTACGGGCCAAGGTGGGCGAGATGAGAGCGTCTTTGAGTCCTAATGCGAGTGCTCTCGTTGGTATTATGAAACGAATTGTTTGATCAAAAGCGTTTTAGTTTTGTAGTCCTCAGTTTTCACTTCTATTTTCACTTCTATTTTCAGTTTTATTTTCAGTTTTATTTTCAGTTTTATTTTCAGTTTTATTTTCACTTTTTATTTTGTTCTTAGGGTGTGGTTAACGTCATGGGAAAGTCAAAAGAAGAGATGGTTTGCGTTCTTTGTGAAGCGTGCAATCTTCCATCCGAAATTGCAAAAATGTGTCTTGGAGTCACAGAAGCAACTCAAAACCAAATGAAGTCCACGCGAGCTGCAGGATTGGGACCAACTTTTTCCAGAGCATCTTCACGAGGGTCAGACTCCTCCACTACTGAAACAACTCCAAACGATCAAGAGTCCCAATTCCTCCAATCGCGTCGTCCCATTTCTTCAATGTTTTTAGACTTTTTAGAAACCGAGTCGGCCACCTAGCTTTCCTTGTTCCTTCTGATTCTCTCTCATGCTCTTCGTTCCCCTCTGACCCTCTAATTCTCTTCTTCCGTTTAACGCTCTTTCTTGGTCCATTCTCCCCCCCTCCTTCCAACAGTCCTCCTCTTCTCCCATTTCACCCAAACCTCTTTTCGAATCTCTTCCCTTTCCCAATCCAACTCTTGTCGTATTTCCGTTTTTGTTTTTACTTTCATTTGACTCTTCTATCGCCCGCACATTCCAGGTACAAACGAATACAGTGCTGGCCTGACCCCAACAGCATCTTGCACAACACAAATTCAATCAAAACAAACCCCCCACACTGAGGGTTGTCTATTCACTGATATATTTTGTTTTTCTGCTCTAATCACAAAATGGAACACCGCACTGTATTTGACACTCCTCGCCAACACGTTCAATCGATTCGAGATGGATTTAGAAATTTGCAAGCAATCGGATACGTTGAATACACCAATAGAAGCATCCAGGTCCGTATTGGAGAGAACTCTACAATTTCTTGGTTATTCTTGCATGCTACAAATGCATGGAAACATGCCAACTTGACTCTCAACCGCACGATATCCCTAGCCAAAGAATATATTTTTTGCAAATTTAATGCGACGCTCACATCCATTTTGTCTCTTAATCCCTCACATCCATATTTCAGGGTCTTTCCGCAAGTATTTATAGCGACGCTGCGCAGAGTTGGATATTCGAAATTTTACAAAACATCCAGTACGGAATTGCAGCGCTAAATTTCGGGTTCCAGTCCCAATTCTCAATCTCTTTCTTCCTTCATTTTTGCGCAGTGACTGTCAGGTGGACTGCAAGCTTCCCGCCGGACTCGTCAGAATTACGCTTCTGGAGAAGGATCCTTTCTCAGTTGGAACGGGGTGTTTTGTCATCGTAAGCGAGTCGATACTCTCAGCACTTCGGGACATACTTTGGGACATACTTTGGGACATAAATTATCTCTTGGTATATGATCGAATCTCGCTTTCGTCAGTCCTGGAACGAACCCGGTCTTTCGCATTCCAACGTTGAAGGTTTGTGCAATGTTGGGAAATCGACGAAGACAGAACGGGTGGATTTGATCGGACACAAAGGAATCGGATTTAAAGCTGTGTTCTCCATCGCCTCAAAAGCTGTGTGGCTTTCGAAAGCCACTGGGTACTTCTTCGAGCTTGGGGGGAAGGCAGAAGAGAATGGGTTGAAGTACGCAGCGAGAAAGCGATATTGACGAGTTGAATCTACACCTCGAAACCATCTCATCGTCTTGCCTAATCACCGTCCCATTTTAACACATTCCTTCCATCCCAATTCTCAATTTGCTCTCAGTCTTGATTTTGTCACCTCAGATTCATCGTTCCCAATTGGATTGAGGAAACAAGCATTCCTGATGAAATTTGGAAAGTGTCCGAGTTAACACAACAACATCTTCAATGGTTCAACTCGGAATGCAATTCTGGACCTCCAATTAATTCGAGTGATGGCTTTATTGATACTCCAACGATTCTATGTCTTCTGATCGACGGAAAAGATAAATTCGAAATATGCAAGGAGTTGATTTTGTCTGGAAAGAAAGTGAGTCAAGGGGTAAAAACGTTCGATAGAAATTTCATCCATTGACTGTAACAATTTGTCCACCAACATACAAATACCGTCGTAGATAACCACAAGAATGTTTCATCCATTGACTGCAACAATTTCAGTGATACAGACTTTTCTTCTTCTCAGTTATCTTCTGATTCAATTACGTTCCTCGATAAACCGAATGTGATTACAACCTCGTTCATTTCTCATAATGACGAGACTAATGCTCCAATGAGAATGATATGCAGAAGTGTTCGATCTCAAGAAGATCGCGAGAAGGTGCGCTTGATGAGTCGATTACGTTTCATCAATATGAAACACTTGATTAGTCGATCATATAAAGTCGATTATATTTAGTCGATGATATTTAGTCAATGATATTTAGTTGATGATATTTAGTTGATGATATTTAGTTGATGATATTTAGTTGATGATATTTAGTTGGTGATATTTAGTTGGTGATATTTAGTTGGTGATATTTAGTCGGTGATATTTAGTTGGCGATATTTAGTTGATGATATTTAGTCGATGATATTTAGTCGATGATATTTAGTCGATGATATTTAGTTGATGATATTTAGTCGATGATATTTAGTTGATGATATTTAGTTGATGATATTTAGTCGATGATATTTAGTTGATGATATTTAGTCGATGATATTTAGTCGATGATATTTAGTCGATGATATTTAGTTGATGATATTTAGTTGATGATATTTAGTCGATGATTATTAGTCGATGATATTTAGTCGATGATATTTAGTTGATGATATTTAGTCGATGATATTTAGTTGATG